TCCAACGTTCATACGGTGAAGGAAAACATCGTAATGCAGGTTGCATCTGAGAAGAAATTCAAAGATATGTGTGAAGTCAACCAACCCGCATTAGGCCAGTGTGGTTGACTATAGCCTAGTCACGCCTAACTTAGGGTAGGTTCCGAGCCCCTCAAACGTAAAGTGAGCTGATAATGATATTTATTAATATAATAGTTATGAGTGGAATAAATTGCTTTTAAATAAGACTAAGGAAAAACAAAACGATTTACATCTTATGAAGCGTTTCTATTTTCCATATAAATATACTTAAATGTTTTATTAAATAAAAAAAGTCTCTTTATCATAGTGTCTGAGAAATGTTATTGTTTTATTATCTCCAGGGAAGCGAGGCTTCACGGGCAATGAGTTATGTTGGGATCTAGTATTCTATTATTCGGCCGAGTCCATTCGCAATGATAAAGGCGTGTGCAGACAGCGCGTATTTTATGTTTATACAAGATACGTATTGAAATTCAACATTGTAACAACGTACAACCATAATCTATTACAAGATACTCTTTGTCAGGAAACTATTTGGATCTTTTTATTATTTCATATTATTAGGTCTTTATTTGAATGATTAAGTGACTTAGGAGTTTTGTGAGAGGTAGTTTTAAATAGATAAGAGGAAGCGCGGTATAAAAAAACTAGTAATAAATAAATCCCATATTACCCGGGCAGAGAGTAGCTATCTAAAAGACATAGAATTTTTTAGATAGGTTCCGCAGTTTTGGAGCCTATTCGATTTATTCTGGAGGCTAAATTGTAGTCCAAATTTTGGAGAATTTGACTGACGTCTACGAACAGTTGTCACTTCGCTGCTAGCAATTAGGTGGGACAAACAAACTAGAGATACGAAAATGCCGATACCATATTCTCACCTTTCCATAGTTTGATGTGCATCATAAATTCGGCAAGTTAATGTAGTGTCAACGGATTTGTACTGAGGTTAAGACATCCCTCCATAGTCGCAGCTGTCGTGTGAATGAGCCTTAATCAAAATAGAGAGGTTAAACACTCAAATTGTTTGCAATTAAATCGATTATTCTGAATTATTTATTAAAATATTTTTTACATTCAAATACTCAATACTCTCACTACTCAATTTTAATCTGGTGTAGATTAAAAATAATTGAATGTTTAAATCGTACAGCGAAAGATAAAAGCTAGTGAAGTACTATAGTGCGGTTCACCGAGCAATTTACTGATTGCTGAATTTAAAATAAACTCGTAGTGCGGAGATACCGATACACTCGTCGCTCAAGTGCGCTATGACACTAATGCGGTGCTCGCAGATAATCATTTATCGATTATTTTAACGTGAAAAAGTTTTTATTGTGATCAAGAAAACGTCAACTAGAACGGATGCATATATGTTGTTCCGACTTTTGTTGCCAATACTAGTAGGACCACGATTCATTTATCGATAAAATTTATTTATTATAAAACGTAGTTATATGTTAATTTAAATTATTTTTCTAAGATAAATTTATAATTTCTCTCTTTTATATTCGTTTTATCGTACGTCGTTGTCTTGTATTCTGTATCGCATTTACATTATATCAGTATATGTTTTTACAAACGCTACAATAAGTCACCTGAAAAACTTTGTATTCCAAATTATAATAATAAAACTGTTTACGCGCGACCTACATCGTTGAGGCGAGTGGGAATATTAAAGGATATTTACATGAGCGTACCGAAGTAATATATTCAAAGTAGAAACAAAGGAAAGGATTGTTTCTTTAGCACAGACACCCTGAGTGCTGCATAATTAGGCGTTTCATTATTTTGTGTGTTGTGTAAAAACAAAGACTAGATATTGTTTCAATAAAATTAAATGTCAATTTTTATAAACATTATTTAAAATTTTGAGTAACAAATTGATTAGTAAAAAGTAAGAAAAGTGAATATTAAACGGAAGCTTAGTTTCCTCACTTACATTTACGTAGCCTACATTTTTCATCGTTTTAAAACAAATGAAAATTTTCTTTTTTTATGTTGGCAATCAAGCAAGCCGCCACCTAAATTAACCTTAGTGATCCGCTATTGCAGATGCCTTCCTTTAATCAATGGATCATGCAAATCAAAGTCATATTGCATGCTATAAATCAAAGATCTCATCATAATAATATTTAAAAAGGAATTTATTATAGTTAATGCAATATTATTTAGCCAGCGTTACTCAAAAGGATTATGTGATATGCGATAATGATTTAAATCCCTATCGCTCATATCAAGGTTAATTTATGACCCTTTGTTATAGTTGCCTAGTATTTATAGATAAGATATAAGATACACGGTCATTGGTCAGTGTCAATTTATTGTACTTTGTATTTACAAAGCGCTGCATCCATACTCCACATCCAAAGACGGCATTTATCAACAAGCTATCCGTTGCAGACGATGTGTGCGGTGCGTCCGGCGCGAGCCAATGTACACACCCACTTGTAACGTTTTTGTAATAAACAAACTAAAATTTACAGAAGATATTTTTACTTCGGTTTTGATGTTTGGGAAATGAAAATTTCATAGTTAGAATTAACTATATCCTTTTCCATTTCTTTCATCTTTTATACACTTACTTGATACTCTACGCTTTCATCTGATAATATTCTATAAGGTTTTCTCACCCCGTTTAATTTTAAATGACTACTTTTCGAATGAATATAAAAAAATCAGTAACCATCCGATGCCACTATTGTACGAAATATTTACTTGGTCGGAAATAAAAATGATATCCACATCACCGTACGGGACAGCGCGGACAACAATAGGTTTAGTGAAAGTTCACTAAAGTTCAAATAGAATCTTTTATTTCGCTTCAGCAACGTTGATGCGACCAAAGCGGATATTTCTCAAAGAACACATTTTATAAAGTTAAAAAACAGTGACATTAGACGTATTGATACTATTTTTCTTGGTGTCTTCAGATATTTTTTTTATAAAACTGTTCAATGGATTTAACTGTTTGTATTATACCAAATCTTGAGTCAGGTAAATGAAACAGTAATGGACCAATGCTTAAAATATGATACCATTTAATACAATTGGAAAGTTGTAAAAAGAAATACAAATCTGAATTTCAAATCATTTTTGTACCTATGTTAACAGATTTCTATTTCGAGTTAGGCTATGTAAATGCAGCTGTTAAGAGAAGTGCGAAATTGGATTTACAAATGGGATTCGAGCGGCGATCCGAGGCCACCAATAAGAGAATCCAAGTGATTTTCTAGTTATTCTATATCGAAACCTTAAATCAACATTTGCAACATCCAATCCTTTTACCATATTTTTTTTAGTTCGAAACTTTAAAAACTTTAAAAAAATATTTTTAAAGTTTTAACTTTTTAAAAACTTTACCTACTAAAACGTTTTTTTTTTTAAATACGAAAAATCCTTTTTTGAATCTAACTGTTTTTTCTCTTTCTTAGTATACACAAAATGAGTACCTACTTTTAATAAATACAAATAAATACAGTAAAATTATAAAAATTATGATCCTATGTCCTAAACTAGGGTCAAGATTCGTCTTATGTGTCCCTACATTTTTCAATATTTTTATACAGCTTGATTAAATCCCTTGGGAATAATATAATAAAATAAATATTTAGCTATATGAACTTGTGCTATGCAACCCAGTCATCAACGTAACTGCATTGTTGTGTACATTGTTTGGAAGCCGCGGTATTCGAGCCCGCACGCCGCAGCCCACAGACCGAAGCGCTCCGATTATTGTTGACACGACAGGAATTCGTCGGGGTTATTCTAAATCTATACATTATTGAAATAGATCATTTAATTAATTTAAGTTATTGATTGATTATTGATTCATAGACAACAAAGACAATAGTGTATTTTTGTTACTGGCAATCCGACGCATTGCAAGGTCGCCATTAAGTTTCCGTTGAAAAAAATGACAGATTCAAAAATGTTTTTTTTTAATTTTTATCTGCGAAAAATGGCTTGAAAATATGTTATTTTTCATAAAATATTAAAACACGTGAATAATTAAAGAGAGATCTGTTGAATTTATAACGAAACAAGATCTTGTTTTCTCATTACATGACCTGTTTTATTAAATAAAAATCTTGTTAAATTATCCAGAAAAGGTTGAAAAGTGCTCGTATATTCCGGAGTAATAACAAAGCTTAAATATTGTAGCGTCCATTTTGAAAACTAATGAATTCCACTCGGATGAACAAATTAATTAAAATTTTATTATCAGATCGTTAATATTTTGCGTAATTTTCAATTAGAATATCGTTAAAACAATTTAGACAAATTCATGAAGCTACTTTAATAAATTAAAAAAAGATAATTTATTTGTCACGGCCCATTAAGTTCTCGTTAAATTAATAACCTTGGTTTAATTATCTGATTATTTATTCTAACCAAGAAACTGCTGTAGCTAACGTTTTTTTTAATTTAAATATGGAACAACACTATTGACATGACTGGCTGAGGATAAACGCTTAGTTAAAATATTGGAATTATACACATTAAGAGGGAAAGTAAAACCGTTTTAGAACTAAATATTCAAAAGCAAACGAAGCATATTTTTCACCAAACATCGAGTAGCCTACTTGGTCGTCTTTACTCTCTTTATATATAAAAAAAAAACAATTTACTTTAATTGTTCGTTAATAAAAAAAAAGTTGGGTTAGGATATTATAAGTACGGAATAAACGTAACTCGACTCTTCCAATCATAAATAATGTTTTATCGGAACGTAATATTTTAATGTACCCCAATAAATAGCTCAGGAAAGATAATATTTAAGATTAACCGTTAATTAATTACTTTATTTCAGATTCATTCGTGCGTCGGAACATATACCTGGATAGTATTTATCATTCTGATTGGATAACATAATGAATCAGAAGCCATAAAATTTAAAACAATATTGATAACAATTATGTGTGGGAATAACTCAAAATATCTTTTGATGCACAATTTTTAAATAAACTAATACCTTATTAAAATGCTGCAAAATTGTTTATTATATTTAATTGTATAAAAAATAGCTTAATTTGTACTATACAAAGTTACTTAATTGAGGTCATCAGGCAGGGTGATAACGGGTGCAGGGATGACTGGATTACCGATCACCGCTGGGGGAGCGTCTACAACAATCACGGGGTCAGCTGCTTCATCCACAACAACAACTGGTTCAGGCTCAGGTTTCACAACCACAGGAGAACCGACAACTTGTCCTTGTTCATTTATGTTAATGATGATTTGTACTACAGGTTTAGTTTGAGGAATGGGTTCGTTGATAATTGCGGGTCCGATCGCAATAGGTTCAAAGTCATCGACGAAGGCAGGGCCGCCTCCGATCTCTGGGTGGACGATACCAGGTCCAATAGAGATGGGTTCGCCTTCAGGCATTATGACGGGTGCAGGGCCGGCCGCACCGGGTTGGACAAAGCGGTGTGCCGGGCTGGCGAATGCCGCGGCCACGAGGAGCGTGAGTACCAGGAATTTCATATTTATTCTGCAAATCAAAATTACAATTATGATATGTATTTATAATTTTTGATATATTATGGTTTGTATCAAAATATGTAATTTAAATTAAATCGCGCTCAAACTATCTTGTCCCTTATCCTTGTAACTATTTGATTACACGTGAACATAACTTTATGTTAATTTAAAATTCTACATATGTTTTTTTTTTAATTTTTTACTCAAGAACGGTATTAAGAGTAACCTAAACCGAAGTGCATTTATGCGTAGATATATGAATGTGGAAGAAGATAGCTTTGTCAGAACTACGATAAATGGTCTCTGGCTACCCCTTTAGGTTATGTTGTTGTATGCTATAAGCACTAAAATAACTAATCACAATAATAAATTACTAACTACTAACACTTTTTCACTAAGTAAATTTTAGCACTAATCTTATCTTTATATCTCTATTTTAATTTGAATACAATTATTAAACATTATAATATTTATTTTCAAAGTATTCACGTACCTTCTTTGTTATGTCTTCGAAACTTACACAAAACTTTTCCTAGAGTTTTGCCATTTTATACGTAATAATATCTCGAAAAAAAAACTAGTTAATACTCACAGATAATTTTTATGACTTTTAATCGACTTTATTACGATAAGTAAGTATCCCTGGATTAAAAGATCTATCGATTAAAGATTTCCTTATTAAAATCATAACAGGATGGATTAAAAGTTTATTTCTGTCAATTGATAATTTCATTGAATGAATGAAACGAATGTACATAACATAGTATTGATTGGAATTTATAGACTAAAAACAATAATTAATAAATAAGCAAATGTTTTGTTTAATATTTCCTACCTATATAATATATTGTTTTTGTACAAATTAGCTAACTTCAGTAAAATATGCATTTTAGAACATAACCTAACCTTAATTTAATAAATCCCAATTGACCGAGGCAATAATAAGTTAAATAGCGCCATCTATTGTCGGAATTTTCAAAACAAAGATTTTAAATGATTAAAAACTAATAAATGCAACACGTTATTTTAAAATCTATTGTAATATATTAAAAAATTATAAATCGAGAAAAAGAATGTGTAAACAATCGTTTGTTGGATTTGTCAATGACCTTGACTTGGCGATTCGTTGTAAGATCGAGGTTATTGTCTCGCATAATCTTACTTGAAATACTATGGAGATTATCAAAGATGAAGTGCTCTTGTGGTAAGTGGCTCTACAGATTACACCGGTATCCAGTGTAACTTGATTGAACTAATCAACAAGTTCTCCCTTCATAGTGTTGGAAGTAACCGGTGACTAATACTCTACTAAGTATTTACTTCGACTGGATTATTTAATGTAAAATTATGTTTTAATACTTTGCTGTGGTTATTACTCTTTTACCAGATATGGTACGGATAAGAAAAATGTATTTTCAAACTCAAACTTCAGTTCATTTGATTTTAAAAACATCTTTTACTAAACTCGAGACAATTTTATGAAAATCATAGACAAAAAAAACTTTAAAAGATTTATTAAAAAGTACAGAACACCGGATATTGTACGCGGGCAGGCTGACGCTAGTCATATTAAAAGCGTCTTTCATTTCCGGTAAACGCGTCACTAATGATCCTTCGCTGATTGCAGTCATTGCACAGTCGTCAGTCGACACCGACGGCGTAACGACCGCTGAGTGTGACAACACTCGATTTCATCGTATAAATTAATTCCATCTGTAAGTTATGTAATCTTTCAAAAAGATAATGTTAATTCTGATGTTAAAAATATTTTTTCTTTGACCCTTTCAGTTCAAAAGCTTTGATTAAACCTATCGAACGTTTATAAATTTATTAATACTTAACTCTTTTCTATTTATTTTATAAAAATGAATATAAACTTGCCAACATTTTATGCGATCTTTTACTGAATAAATTATAAAAGAAAAAGAAATCTTTTGAAAAGATTTTTAAATATATTTATTTGTGTAAATAAATTAATGTGAGATAATATAAAATATATAGTGACTAAAATGATGTTTTTTGCTTTGACGCGGTGTGTAGTTTTGCAGAATTACAGTGTGGTGTAGAGAAAACATTTTGCAAAGTAGTCTGTAAACGTTTTCATTGAAAACTACGGAGAAGTTTAAAGTTCATATACAAACAGCAAGCGCACGAAATACTCTGCAACGTTTTCTATACTTTTGCACTATCCAAATAAACTTATATTCGAATTCGGAAATAACTACTACATTTTATAATACTAGCCGTAACCCGCGACTACTTACATGTTCTACATCTATTCCAAATTTGAAGAAGATCCACAAAGACTTTCTGGATATACTTTCTACCAAACATATATCCATCTATCCATCCAAACATTCGCATTTATAGTATTAGTAAACTTGTCAAAGCAACGATATACACCATTGAAATGACTATTGTAGTCTTATGATATTTACTAAATTGTTATACAGCGATATCGTGGATTTCTTTTTTGTATATTTGTACATCCTTTCCTATTTGAGGATTAATCATCACCCATCTTTTGTGAGGATTCGGCAAATATGTGAATTACTTTTTTTTATAATAGAAGGGGCAAACGAGCAGCGGGAACACCGAGGTGTTCAAGGACGCCCATGGACATCAGCAATACCAGAGGAACCGCAGATGCGTTGCCGGCCTTAATAACATAATCTAGTTTCTTCTGGGATCGCAGTGATTTCTAAGTATATTCTACTGAGTTTTGTATTGATTTTTTTTCCCATTTATTTTCTTATGAAAAATGGTTTATTCCATTTTTAGAAACCTTAGCATCGCGGTGTCGGAAGCTATTACCGCGACTCCGCAGATACGGTCTGTCACCGAGCTTCCTGATTTCGAAACTTTTGTAAACTAGAAATACGAAGAGATATTGATAACTTATTATATTAAAAAAGTTGTATATAATAAAACTTAACCAGGTGGAAGTTTAAAGGAGAATTAAAATTTTTGTGGAAAATCTAGTAGTTCAATAACACGTCCCCACCGATGGGCTCGGAGCCTACCCTAAGTTAAGGGTGATTAGGCCATAGTCAACCACGCTGGCCAAGTGCGGGTTGGTTGACTTCACACATATCTTTGAATTACTTCTCATATATGTGCAGGTTGCATCACGATGTTTTCTTTCACCGTAAGAACGTCGGATAAATGTATATATGTAAATCTATTAATTGTTTAGCCTTATGTCTGAAAATACTTCAGAAGCCTTCCTTAAATTGTCTCACGAAAGTCTCTATTCCATAGTCTAATTCAAGTCTAAGAAGCTCTACTTCATTACTTGCACGTTTACGTATATTAAGTCGTGTACCCACATGTACAGTCATCAACAACAAGCTAATCACATCATAGCATCGAATTAGCAAAGTCATGACATTAGTGCAGGCGATTGTACTACTCGGTGTTATCACAATCCGCGTCACACATGATTGGGCTCAACTTTGACTGTTGTGGCGAATCGTGAACTAAAGCGACCCTTTGTATCGTTAAGGCTTTTGTGAAGCGGTTGAAGCGCTTTATTTATTCATAGATTAAGCGCTTTGCAAATTTAACGTTTGAATATCATTCGCGTTTCGCTATTCAAGCGGGATTATGTCGGCGTAGCGACACTCTAAACTTATATTACAACAAATCCATCATTGTATTTTGTCATTAGTATTGAAAAGCATTTAATAATTTTTCAACAGTATTTACTTGTTTTATGTGAAAATAACTTCAAGCCAAGTAAGCCAATAGTCGCAAAACTAAATGTAGCTTTTAGCCAACGAGAACATTTAAGCTTTAAAAGATGTAAAATGCAACGTGTAGATTAGAGAGAGGGGGTGGAGGGAGACAAATCCAATTAAGAAATACTGCAACTCTCGTGAGACGAACGTTAGCGAGGTCTATTCAGTGGAGCCTCGGGGTCCTGTGGGAATGTGCCTTGTTTAATCACTATAGAGTGGAGGCTTTTTGTTTGCGCAAAAACGACTTCAAAATTGTATTTCAAAAATTTCAATAAATGAAAAATGTAATATTGCACAATATTTATTATGTTATCTGGCAAACATTGGCACCTAACAATATTTTATGACTTCTTTTTACTTTTTAGTACAAGAATAAGCCGATGAGTAGACTTTGGTAACCTAAACGTAATGCCTATGTTTGCAGCCGTGGTGCTGTAATTCATTTAAACATTTTTCTTAAAACAAGCAATAGTATTTCGTACTAAAGTTAAAATTTGCAGGTTAGACGCTAGCTTGAATTAAACAAACTTATTAATCAAGCAAAGCTACCGTATCCGTGTTTCAATCGAACTATTTAAGCGACGAAATACAATCGTCGACGACTTGAAATTGAAACCAGCCGCATAACAATATATTTGTGAACTCCCAGAATCCAGACCTCTCCTACACTATTTCAACAATTCCACTTCGAATTCTAATTGTAAACCGAACTACGTGGATTTTAGTTATTTGAATGGATAACCTAGATTGGTCAGTCGTAGATTGCAATGATACAGTACGTAGCTAGAATTGAAGACTACACAATGACATTTAGACATGCCAGGGACTCAATTTTACTTACAAAATTGTTTAAATTGGTCTACATACTGAGATATATGAACAGTGTAAGATATAATAAAATACATTAACTTCTACGGACAAATAAATGTATAAAAATAAACAAATGTGTTTACATATGCAGCATTTTAGGGCTCCATTGTCATAACGAAAACTAATGTGCGCACGTTTCGTTAAGGCATTACCGTTAACATGGCTTAGTATGCTGCCTTTGCCTCCGTCAACGACTCTAGGAACGGATTATGGGAACATCATACTTTCCGAGGTAATTAGTAGCTTTGAGTATACAGCATTACGGCGAACATCTTTACACAATATATCGTTAATTAACAAATTTACACCTTATTTCCTACAATACTAGTACTCATAAATTAAAAACATAACTCTTAGTTTGTACAAATTAAAAAAAGCAAAACGGCAGCCAAAATGCGTTTATTTGCTGTTAAAATTACTTTAATACATTTTTTACAATATTATATAATTAAACATTCACGACTACATTTCGTTGTTAACATTTCGCGCGCGATTCTCTTCTCTTGACACCTATCTTTTTTTATAATTAAAAAGGCAAAGGTTATTGGCCAGTATGCCACGTCTTTGGCAGAATGTTTTATTTTGCACTCATTTTATTTACAAGAATTCTTTTGTCACATTATTTTGGTATTTACTCTAGTAATGCTTTATCACTGGCTGTGCTAAAGACGATTCCAAAAAATCAGAAGAAAACTCAATCTGTAATGATGAACAAAATGAGTATGACTCAACTGGTATGTTCGCATTTATCTCTGTCAGATTTCGGACATGTTAAGCTTTAGAAGAACTGAGTCTTGTGCCTGCCTACCTCAAAAGGGATTAAGATGTCTTAACAGTTATAAATGTAATAAAATGAAATATTCCATTCACATCTATATTATAAACAAACTAAAAATTGTTCTTTACTATGTTCATTTCCACTTTTTTTATTGTAATTTTTTATACGACATTACAGAATGATTATATGT